TTGTCTCCTTATGCGACTGGCACCAGGAAAAAAGTCAAGAACTGGTGGAGCTGCTTTTCATGAGTTGCTGGACAGAAAGGGAGCTTGATGCACTGGTGAAAACGAAGCATAATGAAAGGGAAAGACATCTGGTTTGCTTGTCTATACCGGACTTTTAGATACTTTTAGGTGCTTGATGGCGATGTCAACAGAAATGGGTGGATAACCCATTTGCTGTTGACCCTTTGGGCATTTTACAATGGTAATCCCAGACCAGTCGCTCATTCATCCAATGAATGGGGCCTACGTTGCAGGCATTTGTTGATCATTTCCAGCGACCGCCCCATACGTCTGACATCGTCTGACCTTTACCGAACAAAATATCCATGGCTCTTCCCGCCACGCAGAAGGTAATCAGATACCTTCAATTTCCTGTAGTTTTGATTGAACAGATGTTTCGAAAGGATTCAAAACGGGGTAATAATTCGTATTATATATTATATATATATTATTATATTATATATTATATATACATGTTACTTCTCCATTTTTGGGGGGAACCTGAGGTCCTGGCATGGCCGCGCCCCAATCCTTGGAGCCTCCCTTGCCGCTGGGATCACATGGGATCACTGACTTAAAACGCTGCGAATGGTAAGTTATACTAAGTTATACCTATAAATTTATGGTGAGTCATTGGGGGTTGATGATGTTGATGATTGTTTCTGATATTTTCTGATTGTTTTACCAACAAATTAGCTGGGTTGATTGATGATTACATAGAAAATTATAGCACCTACTACCTGGGTTGTTGATATTTAATGATGGTTGTTGGGATTATGAACTAACCGACCATGTTTTTATCCTATTAGGTCCCAATTCATGATTGTGAACAACAACTCCTTTTTCTAGAAAAGCCGATAAAATACCAAGTGGTATTTCATGAGATGGAATAGCGATATTTTTCATGGCTCAATTGGTGTCTTTTGGTCGTTTGGAAGTCAGGTTTCTGGGCATCTCCTGACATGGATTCCTGACGTTTTTCGGATTCGGATGTTGTGAAATGAACACTATTGTGACAGAGAGAAAATTACTCAAATGCACCTCAAACAATACTATATATCGCAGATTATAATAAATACTTAGATAATTAAATGTAATATAAATATACCTCTATAAATGTATTTACTGTATATTAATAATTAGATATCTGTACATCTAAAGGCAGCCGATGGAGATTTCCTCGATGCATCTGAGTTTTACCTGATGCCAAACTCGGAGTTCTGGTCAGATGTGGGGATGGGTTAACAGAATTCAACAGCTGTGATATCATGGACTACTTATGAACACCAAGTTTTTTTCAGATCAAGGCACCAGGTTGTTGGGAAATGGCCATTTACAAGCAAACGTATGGTTTATTGATGTTTATTGCATTATCTCATAAATTTCAAGGGATCACTTGTGAAACAGCCAGCCTTGCGAGTCAGCTTGCCGGAATCTGTTGCAGCACAGTGTGGACGCCGGATGCTGAGGCCAGAAAGCAAGAGCACCAGCAGCGAAGACGGTGTCTGATCCAAATTCGACGAAATGGTGCCACTAATCTGGGTAAATTATAACGACCTCACTGTTCTCCCTCACTATAATCATAGTTAATCATAGTTAGTAAGGGGAATCATCCCCAAATGGCCTTAGTTCAGGGTAGTGAAATATTATAATTTACCCAGACTAATCACAGAAATCAATCAATGGCATCCAAAAAGACTCCACGATTTTCCAGCAGGAAATTCATCAACGGTTTACCTACCTTTTTTCGTTACCGATATCTAGAGATAGCTCCGGGAAACTATACCACAATGACCTTGCCATTTGGATTGGTGAGTTTTCGTGAAATCATGTTAAGCATTAGAATGATATATAGATATATATAGTCCAAAGTATATCCCATGATAATCCATGACATATAATCCCATTGGTGAACTATTGATGATATATCAATAATATTCAATAATATATATATATATATCCAATTGTATATTCCCACAGAAAGTGGCTTCTTCTTAGAGTTTCGTGGATTTACTCCAGAGTTTGTATTTACATTTGAACCATCCATATATGTATACTCTCTAGAGTTTATGGGTCCTGATAATGACAAATGAGATCTGTGAAGTTTATTCTTGTTAGATGTGATCTCTTCTTGCAGCGTGCTTTTCTTCAGAGTTTATATTCCTTCCCTGTTCTCCAAGGTCATTCTGTTTACTTTGTGTTTTTGAACCCGTGAACATTTGCCGTTGGAGATAATTGGCATGGTCGCTAGGCCGTGGAGAAATAAACTCTAGAGAATATCGGCTGATGAGCACTGATCTGGGTAGATTATCTTCAGAGGAAATAGTTGCAAACATGTTCGGATTGGAAGAAAAGCAAGCGCAGGTTTTGGGGCTCCTTCAGAGAAAAGATACTTGAAAGTGTTTGGCAGTATGAAGCTGCTTGTGTTGGGGTGCCTTCAATGTGTTTACTCGGTGCTGTTGTTCCGCAGAGGGCAGCCTAGGGAGATTGTTCAACTGCGCGAGGAGGAAAAGGCCACTGGTTTCATGCATGGCCATTTGTAAGCTTACTGAGAGAATATGATGAGCACATTCTTGCTTTACCATGTGACTATATGAGTAGATGCGACACTCTTCTAAGATGTTCATAGCATGCGACAGGCTACTTTGGAGGATACCATGGATGGCTGGGTCTCCGCAGAGCCGCACAGAGTGGTGCAGGCAGAGCTTCCCCTTGTTGCGTGCCAGTCTGTTTCACAGTCGGAAGCTGCAAGCAGCGGGTATGTTGAGGGAGTTAGGAAAAAAGGTGGCAGACCCCGGAAGTCTTGGCAGCGGCAGCGGCATTCTTCTTTTGACATGCTGGAGCGAGAGGGTCTTTGAGAGGCTGCACGTCGCTGGTTGCAAGAGCAGAAAGTGCTACACAAGCCTTTGGTGTCTTCTTCAAAGGATAGGTCCTTGGCGGTGCTGGCTGCCTGTGACCGCTGCAAAGACTGCTCCAAGCAGTATTGCTTTGCACTTGAGAAGGGCCAGGGCAATGTGGTTTGTGTGCAACAGACTGGTGAGTGCAGCGGAGAGAGGAATTTGAAACGCATGAAATTGTTTCATGCCAAAGCATACGCAACTTCTTTATCGCCTTCAAACGCTTTGTCTAAGATGGCGGATGATGGCATTGGCGCAGAGGAGCGTCCCAGTGCAGAGCGGCTGAAGAATGTTAGACTTGCTTTTGTTTCAAAATCGTTGCCAGAGCAATTTTTCCAGGGATCTCTTCGCATTTTTTCCTTGTCTTGAAAATTTCGGAACCACTCAGGTGGCCGTCGTCTCGATTGTGCCAGCCTTGCGGCGCATTGGAAACAGCATGGGCCTCGTGGAACCTATTTGGCCACTACTTGTTCGAAACGTTTGGCTGGTGGCTCCTTGGCGAAGCTGTGCTACGTCATGCCGAAGTTTTGCTTACGCAACGCTTTGGAGAAGCCCGAAGACATGTCCGCCAGCATGGGAATAGCGTTGGCAGAATCCCCCGAGGCCTTGCACAGGGCCTGCTCGCACAGTGCTTCTGGCAGGTATGACCTTCGCCGGCACATGTTCTTACGGCAAGCCTATGTCACACTGTATGTGACCGCTGAGAAGATCATCGATGGGCACAACCACTACATGCAGGGCGGTGGCCATACAGAGCACACAGTCTTCTTGTCGGAGGTCATACATGGGAAGAGCTTCTTGGCGCCCATCCCAAAAGGAACAGACACGTCCTCCAGAAAGGGCAAAAAGAAGTTAAAGCAAAGTGATCGCACCAAGAAAATGCTCGGTGCCCCTGGAAAAAATGACCCTCCGCCGCTCGTCAAGCCAAAGGCAGAAGGCTTGGTGCCGGACTGTTGGGATGTTGAAGCTTTTCTTCCAGGAATGCAGAAAGACAAGGACAGTTTGCCTGTCATGTCCTGTGTGGGAGCTGCTGAGGCAGACTCCTGCATGGCCAGCACGAGAGCTGGTGGTCGATGCACCAGAAAGAAGGTGAATGGTAATTTCTGTCACCAGCATGAGCTGGAGCTGTCATCCAAACAGAAACAGCTTGAGTTTGTGCAAGATTTCGAAGACATTCTCGAGGCAACCCAGGAGCAGTGGAGCCAAGAGCAGCTGAACATGGCTGTAGCTCTCTCGTTGCCCGAGAACGAAGAAGCTCGCGAGCAAAAACGTCGCAGTGATCGCCTGGTTGCTCAGCGCTTGTCCGAGATGGGATTGCGCAAGGTAGAGACATTGCGGTGGCGTGGAGTGCAGGCTTGCCTCTGGATTGCCACGTGTTTCGTCAAGAGGTGGTCTCTTACTTAGCTACTCTACCAAACCACTTCGGGCCTTGGATTGAAGAGCGCTTCTCAGACTTTCCCGCACACCTGCAACATATGCAGAGAGCTGGAAGTTGGGGAGACAACTTGTGTCTACAGGCCATGAGCCATCTTCTTCTTCGACCAATCCACGTGGTGACAGATCGGCCAGCAAATAATGAAGCACTTTTGGTGGTGGAACCTCCTCATCAACCAAGAGGCTTGGGGGCCCCCAGTGATCGTTGCCTACACCGGATGGAAACATTACGAAGGCACAGAAGAAGTTTATATAGACCTTGGAAGCCTAGACCTTGCAGCGGTGAAGGATAAAAACTGGAGTCAATGCATCCTGCAGGGCAAAGCATGGGAGGGAATAAACACTAGAGTTTGGTCCGCCCTACCTCATTTCCAAACTTTCGACTGAATTAACTCCAGGGTTAAGACAGTGTATTCTGTCAAGAAGCAGCACCAAAGAACTTCAAAGATAATCCTTTCAAACTCTAGAAAGCACGCTTCTTATTCCCACAACCCAAAGTACATTTTTTCACATGCGAAATGGGCCACAAAAGCCGCGAAACACTGGCGGCAAGGCAAAGCCGATGCGACGGGTGCTCGGAATGGCTACATCGTGGAAGCTCGGGCGCACGCTTGGAATATCTTGGAATGACACCTGGGTCCACTGGAGTCTTGAAACATCACAGAGCAATTGCATGGATTCGGACTGGGTTTGAAATTTGGGTTTTTCCATGGGGAATCCTAAAGATACCTTTCTATAATTAGCGACATAATGGGATACATAATGATACATATGTATTTTTTTACGGTATGTATAACCACCCATGATTTCTGGTAATCGAACAGTTTGCAAACTGAACATTCACAATGTTAAAATATGTCAAAATTGTGGTATGTTTAATATGTTTACCATCGAAGTCAATACGGCATCTAAACCATAGCCAGATTAGATTACCAAATCCTCAAAAAACTGGTGCTTTTGGACGGGCTTGGTACGACCTCTTCCGTTCTCCATTTGCGACTGGTGGAGAAAATGAGAAAATCCATGAAAATCACCATTTTTGAGTGGACTGTGGGAATGCGACGCACTCAAAAATATGGGGATTTTGGAAGACGACTCGGTTTTTTCTACCCAGAATTGGGATTCCCACAGGTCATGAAAATCACAGGTTCCGTTCAAGGGCATTGTAACATGGCACCCAATGCCCAGATACAAGTTATTGTTGTTATCAGTCATTGCGTTGTCCCATCATTGTTGACCAATCTTCCGAATTGTTAATGGATTTAATGGCGATATATGTGCCACCTGCCATTGATTTCAGCATTCAGAGAAGGTGGGTGATTGGAAAATTACCCAGGAATCAACATCTCAAAAATGTGCTAGTTCCAACTGGTCAAAAAATCCATAAATATCCGAATCTACTGTTGTTTTCGCTCTACTTCGATGATCAAATCAAGTTACCTGGGACCATTAGCTTAAATGGGAAACCCCCCCTAGAGAACTAAGTTGGTTTATAACTCAAATAAGTAGGCTATATGATGCTTATAACGGTTTTAACTATAGTATTCCTGGGGTGTGTCAACCAAGCAGCTCCACATCAAATGGTACTATCCCACTATATGCCTGTTCCATTCCTATTGTATCTCAGTAAATCGCATTAATTATGCCCTGAATATCCCATTAATAGCCTTTTTCATATCCATCCAAATATCCCTATTGTTCTTGATTATATTATAAATCCCCATGATATGAATATCCCGTTATATCCCCATTTGCTTACAATTCTCTATTTCTACTAATCTCCCCACAATCCCCAGTCTATCCCTACCATCGTCCGTGGGAGGGTCTTAACATTATAATACAAATTCTATCACATTGGGTTATCCTTATAACTTATATTAACTTATAACTTATTAAAAAATAAATTTATATACCATATCGGATATCCCATAATTTTCCAAAACATAAACCTTCCATCAACTATAGTTATTCTAATATATACATATATATATATATACATATAACCTATTCTATGATATAGTATAAACCCAGGAGGAGCCCCGGCGCGCCGACTCCAACGCCACGCCCTCTTCGGGCCCCGTGTCGCTGACGCCGGAGACGCCCTCCGTGGCCGGCACCGGCGCGACGGCGTCGGCGACGGCTGCAGGGGCGCCGTTCTACACCGGGGAACTGGCGCTGAGACCGGTAGGTCCGGGCAGTGGGAGATGGTGGGGATCTGCGGTAGCTGAGGATATGTGTTTTGATCATATATGGGTATGGATCAATACCTATACATACCATTTTTAGGGGATGAACATCCATTTACCAGCTATTTTGGGGTTCACTAGGTACCAGGGTTTTGACCCATCCCCATATATGATTTTGATTTCTGCATATTTCTGCTTTTTGTGAGGGTTTTTTGGATGTTTTTGGGGTGGTTTGGAGAGTTTTTTTGAAATTGTTGGTTGGAAGACATTGGAAGAGGGGTCAGCCATGGAGGTCTTTGGTAGTGGGACCTCAAGAGATGGATTGGGCAAGTGTGTTTCCTCGTTCAGACGGACACTGACACATGTTTCTTACGTGCCAGTCCATGGTAGAAATGAACCATAGCTAGTTAAAAAACTAAATCATTCATCTAAGCTCCGGAAATGAAACATGGCTGGCCGGAAAAGTCCCCGAACTAGCCATGGAGGTTTCTGCTACGCTGGGAATATCATCTATAAATACGGATGATATCCATTTGAGAATTGCCAGTTCTTGATTTGTCAAGATCCGGGCAATTCATGTACTTCTTGAATATTTCCAGTTCTTGGATCATTTCCAGTTTTTGCCGATTAGGTCGTTATGTTTGGCATGATTTTCCCTTTGTTGATTCATTAGTGTAACCCTAAAAAGATAGAACAGCAATTTGCTGCCATGTTGGTATGTTTTTACATGTTTTGACTATTCAATCTTGTTGGGGACTGCTATAGATGATTTCTTGATTTACCTTTAAGAAGGCCCCCTCACATTCATAAGTTGGTTTACCATGGTTTACCCCATCTAACTACTTCGCTTACCCATCATAAACCATAGTTTGCTTGGTTAGACACCAACTTACTCAGTATATACAGTATATAATACTGTATACATCAACAATCATGATTGTTAGTTTGAGTTTGAATCCCCATGTTCCACCTTTTCTTCATGAAACAAATCCTGGTAGAATGTTGATTTTTCCATATGTTCCACCATTTTTTCATGGTGAAATCCTCATTTTCCACCATTTTTCCACATGTTTCCACTGCCATTTGCCGGCCGCGACGACGACCGGTCCAGCGCCAGGCGGACCTCGCTACGAGACCGCCGCAGCCGCAGCCGCTGCGGCACATCCCTTGCTGCGGGCCCTGTGACTTGCTGGCGGATTTAGGATCTGGTAAATTTCTACATAGACCCTAGGTTGGTGGCTCATCCCATGGCTCGTAAGTGGGTTATAACCCCAGTTATAAGTGGATTAACCTTACTTATCCCATTTATAACTGGGGTTATAACCCACTTACTAAGTGGGATGAGCCACCAAGTAGGTTGGTATAATCTAAGTTTGAACATCATTGGATAGTATATCCCCCATAGAATTATCATGAATTATCATCAACCAACATGGTATCATTGGTAATTATATAGACCCTGAAAATAGCAATGGTGAATGATGGTTAATGATGATTTATTTAATGGTGGTGGATGGTTATGAATGGTTGTTACCCTCTGGTAAATTACTAGTACCCGGGCAAGCCGGCGGCGGAAGTTTCCCAAAAATAAATGACCTATAGTTCGAAGACAACCTGTCCCGACCGTGTCCTTCCCTCGACAAGCGGCTTTTTTTTCAGCGAGAGACGAAGCAAAGTCTTCACACTCCACACTGTGTCACACTGCACTCTTCGCACTCCAAACTTCAAACTTCACACTCCACACTTCGCACTCCAAACTTCAAACTTCACACTCCACACTTCACACTTCACACTTCACACTTCTCACTGCTTCCTTCACACTTCACACTTCACACTGCACTCTTCACGCCCCACACTTCACACTGCTCTAAACCTACGTGCAACAAAAAAACACTAGTGCCAAAATGGAGAAAATCTGCTAACAAATCCATTTCGCAGCTTTCATGCAGCCACTCCAAGACGATTTCCGAGATCCAGCTGCAAAAGACAATACTATTACGAATGCAGCCACAGAACGAAGCAACCTTGACGCAGCCATTACAATGCGATCTGCAGAGACTGTGTTGCGAAACACAATAGAACTACGCACAACGGCGTCGGAAATTGTAGCTCCAAAACCGACTCTCGACGCCAAAGCAGAAAAAGTTGATTTTTGAAGCTTTTTTTTATAAAGAATTTAAATAGAAAATGAAAGCAGCCAAAATCTGAAAGAATCCAGTTGCACCAAGTTCACGCAGCCATTACAATGCGATTAGCAACAATCCCTAGCACAACACAATGGTATTACGTCCTCAGCTCGTCCACCGAAGCATTTGAAACCTTCTAGACATTGCCGGAACGATCCTACAGTTGCAAATCACACTGGAAGTCCATCGGCAACTCATCCACCAGCAACACTTGCAGTCCCATTTACATTGCGGGAACGATCTTGGAGTTACAAAACACCATGGAACTGCGCAGCAGGAGCTCACAGGACGAGCTCCCAAAACCGGATCTCGACGCCAAAGCAGAAAAAGTTGATTTTTGAAGCGTTTTTTATAAAGAATTTAAATAGAAAATGAAAGCAGCCAAAATCTGAAAGAATCCAGCTGCAGCAAGTTCACGCAGCCATTACAATGCGATTAGCAACAATCCCTAGCAAAACACAATGGTATTAAACGTCCTCAGCTCGTCCACCGAAGCATTTGAAACCTTCTAGACATTGCGGGAACGATCCTACAGTTGCAAAGCACAATGGAATTCCATCGGCAACTCATCCACCAGCAACACTTGCAATCCCATTTACATTGCGGGAACGATCCTACAGTTGCAAAGCGCAATGGAATTCCATCGGCAACTCCACCACCAGCACCACTTCCAATGCCATTTGCATTGCGGGAACGATCCTACAGTTGCAAATCACAATGGAATTCCATCGGCAACTCATCCACCAGCACCACTTGCAATCCCATTTACATTGCGGGAACGATCCTACAGTTGCAAATCACAATGGAATTCTGTCGACCGCACATGCACGAAAAACAGTTGAAACCCCATTTACAATGCGGAACCGATCCGAGCATGATCCGACCATGATCCGAGCATGATCCGACCACACACGAGACCGTCTCGCACCCGTCGCACCGCAGAGGTAGATCATCGAGGTTCGGGGACGGACTTTGTATGGAAAAACATATGGTTTCGTGCATCTGCTATCTCTCAAAAACGCATTTCGTGCGAGACTTCCTTCAAAACTCCATCGGCAACTCCTCCACCAGCACCACTTGCAATGCCATTTGCATTGCGGGAACGATCCTACAGTTGCAAATCACAATGGAATTCCATCGGCAACTCATCCACCAGCACCACTTGCAATCCCATTTGCATTGCGGGAACGATCCTACAGTTGCAAATCACAATGGAATTCTGTCGACCGCACATGCACGAAGAACGGTTGAAACCCCA